AGTTCAAACAAAAAATTGGAATTATGCTATTTAAATTTGGACGATCTTATGCACAAAAACAAATTTTTAGTGTCCTGAATCTGTTCCAATTCAGTACTGGCAACTGGGATGATGTTAGCTAGCTGCTCACATACGATGAATAAATCAAATGCAATGAACTAGAAAATTTGCCAAATACACTGTTGAAAGAACAAGTCATGCCCACTGTCGCTGAAGTTTTTACTTCAGATGCATGAAGCAACTTGAAAACTTGATTAATCGTTTAATCTTGGAATGCGGCAATGCAAAAATGTTTTTAGCCGTGTCTTTTCATTGGTCAAAATTAATTTTACAACTGAATTAAGAGGAAACTGCTAGAAAAAAGATAACCTAGTTAAATAAATTATATTTATCTTGGATAACTTGTGATTAAAGCTTCGGTCACTTGAATACTTTCGTGAGGATACAAGTAATAAGGGGGTTGTAGCATTTAAAAAATGCAGAAACCATAACCAATATTTCAGGGGGAGTGGGTGGATTATGAATTGTTAGTAAAAATAGTAGGTATTTTCACATCTTCCAAGAATCATCTCGTTCTCTCCCTAACAGTACAGCCATAACCCATTTTTTTGGAGATTGGACCAATTCATGTGCAAGTTATTTTTCATAGCTACTTTCATTGCATAGAATCCATGTTTGCATTTACCATCAAATTGGTATGCCTCCCTTGTACAGCATAAAGTTAGAAGGGTCCCTAACCAACTAGCTTCATTGTTCGGGACAGTGCACAATGAATAAATGCCTGTGAGAGTCGAAACAAAAGACCATTTCCATCAAGTACTTGTACCAAATTTTTTTAATTGAAACATGGTAGAAAGGCAAAAATGTAAATGCTTATATAATGGGTATAAGCACAACAATGTGTTTCTGTAATAACTCCCACTAAGCAAGCATGGAGGGCATCAAATTAATCAGAGAAAAATATATAGAGAAGCTTTGGATGCCACAAGATGAGGAAAAAAAGTGTACCAGAATGAGTAATCGATTGTTTGACTTCAAAAAACACTCAGTAGCTTCTCTTTTAGGAAGTAAAGGACGAATTTGTCTAGTCCTCAGCTGAGCTTCAACAATTGTATCATTGAGTTCACTATGCACAGGAAAACAATAGGTCAACACTAAATTTAGCAACATTTTGCAAATGTTTACCTTTAAAGGTTGATAGAATCATAATTTAACTTTCACAAAGTAAAAGAAAATGCTGTGAAACTAAAAGTAAATTAGTATCAAGATTTAATGGCCAGATGTATGGGAAAGGTTCTCTAATCATAGAAAATTATGGAATTACAACAATCAAAAGGATCATTACAGACCTAATGAAAGTTTCAGCCCATTCTTGGGATGTGTGAGTATTCACGTGCATGAAATTATGGTGATGCCGTTTTTCTCTTTCATCAGCGGGCATATTCAAAGCATAACCAATTGATGCAGCAACTTCCGTGACGTTCCAAGGGTTCACCAAAATCGCTTCAGCACCAAGGGACTGCGCAGCACCTGCAAACTGCAGAAAAGGGAAAGAATGAGAAATTGTACGACCTCAAGCACATTTCTTGAAAAGTACTTCTTGACTTTATCTGCATTTGTTTGCATTCCCATACAATTTTGAAGATGAAGAAGGGTACACGCTGCTTAGTTTCGAGATTGAAGAAATTTATAAAATGTTTTCCATGGTTTGAAGAAGACTGCAGAGTGGGAAACTGCAATATTTCATGATTGATACCGAAAGAAGAGATTTTTGAATTGATTCAAAACCTGTGGTGATTTGGCTAGGAAAATCATGCACAAATTTCTTGTGGGTGATCCACGGAATAAAAAAGGAAGCAGTGATAATAAACTAAAAGAAAAGTGAACTAACCTATTGGGTCTCAGAACACACACACAATTTACAATTTGTTATAAGGGTGGCTAAGCAGTTACCTCGCTTAGGATGAGCACCCCTTTCTTTGAGGCTCGGCAGGCCACAAACTCATAGCTCACGGGATTCATTCCATCCCTTAAAGATGTAACCAGAGCAACATCTAAAAGTACCAGGAAGAAAGTAATCATATAAAAGTTAATAGTGCAAATTAACATGTTTTATGGTCAACATATGATAAGTTGGGAGATTGACAATTCTAAGAGGCAAAATGGGCAAAGTTTTAAGTCAATTCTCTATTGCTATTGATGATGTTATCCTTTCAACATGTTATTGTATCAAGAACTAATCTGTTCAATCTTATTTTAGCAACATGATGTCACATTTTCATAGAATGACAATGTCTTTAAAATATCTGGACAAGTGTAACACGTGAAAGGAAATGTCCAAGACCAATGGCAAGAAAAGGGATACCAGTGATAGCATATAGTGCACATAATGCATGGAAATCAAGCGACCGGTCCTGAAAGAAGAAAGTGGATCAGCAATCTGATAGGAACCCAATTATATGAAAATAACAGCTGAGAATTGGTATTGAATTAATGTCGGAATTACAATGAAAATGAAAGATAGGTTCTAAGCTTTCGAGAGGCTTAGATCTCTCCCCCTTGGCTCAGCCAATTTACTCAACTTTTGCCTACCTACACTATGGATTGCCCCTCTATTTATAGATCATTTCTAACTAATTTCCCCCCCACTTGCCATAACAGAATTCTGTTGATATATATTCTTCTCAACTCTTCCGGGCTCTTCTAGAGTTGGAGGCCTATCACAATCATTAGATGAAAGTGTAATACTTAAAGAACGAAGTGAATTTACAAAAGTAAGGTTTTAAAGTTTTTTGCAACGATCTATGTATGAACTGCAAGATAAGTTTTGTCTGAACCAAATACAGGACATCAATAATGCTTATAACAACACATATGGGGATAACTAAACCAATTTTTGTACAATAAGATTTTAGTTCTTATAACTAACAAGAAATGGACAGATATTTTATTTTTTGTAGCATGCTATCAGAGTCAAATAGTTATATAATATGGATATTTGAAGTTAATTTTTTCAGCCCTGCAATTCCGAATAGTAGATTTCACACAAAAAATTAAGAATTTTTTTTTTCTAGAATGTAGATTAAGATGACATCTTCAATTTACCGAACAGACGATTGATTCGATAAATGTAAAGCTATAGCAAGCTATTTATAAAAGGTGAACTAAAGCACTAACAGAGATTGGGAAGTTTGAGTTTGAAGTCACTGTTGCAAAATAATAGGCACATCGTATAATTTTTTCAATCAAGACCTTCACATATAGATGCTGTTTTTCCAAAGGAAGCAACATAAAAATAATATCAAAATAATATTTCAACTCTAAATATCAGCACGCAATGTCCATTGTAATTCAAATTACTGAGGCACAGTTGTAATGGAACAGTTGTAAGAGTTCCAAATCTTCCATTTATCCGTCCAACAATTTCATGAACTTGACATGAAACCTTTTGATCTGCCAAAAACAAATGATAAAAAGTACTGGTATCCCTATCTCATATGAGATTTTGTGTTTTTGGCTGAGAGTGAGATAAAGAAAGGGATAAAGAAGGTAAAATTTAGCATTAAATCAAAATCTAACCCAATAAATTATTCATAACAATTTTATTTAATCATCCATTAGAAACCATTGATGTTGTCATGCAGACAACAAACTTAACTGAATCATTGAGAATTTTTTTCACCGTGATTTTTATTTTTTTTCCCAGAAGATGATGAAGACACAGTGATGAAGATAACCAACATCAGTAAAGTTGAACTGAGGATGAGAAGACATACATTCAGGAACATCCGTCTATTCCTTTTCAATTTTCTATCAGAACTGACTAAATGATGTATTGGAACAGTTGTAAGAGTTCCAAATCTTCCATTTATCCGTCCAACAATTTCATGAACTTGACATGAAACCTTTTGATCTGCCAAAAACAAATGATAAAAAGTACTGGTATCCCTATCTCATATGACATTTTGTGTTTTTGGCTGAGAGTGAGATAAAGAAAGGGATAAAGAAGGTAAAATTTAGCATTAAATCAAAATCTAACCCAATAAATTATTCATAACAATTTTATTTAATCATTCATTAGAAACCATTGATGTTGTCATGCAGACAACAAATTTAAATGAATCATTGAGAATTTTTTTCACCGTGATTTTTATTTTTTTTCCCAGAAGATGATGAAGACACAGTGATGAGGATAACCAACATCAGTAAAGTTGAACTGAGGATGAGGAGACATACATTCAGGAACATCCGTCCTTGTTGGTACTGCAATTTGAACCAAAGCTACCTTATCACACCAAATTTTGGGGAATTCCTTTATTCATATCCAGACGGTCAACTCCTAACATTACCTGTCGAAACGCATAAAACTAGAATTTAAAATATAAGTAAGAGCTAGCCAACATGTAAGGAATTTTATTATCAATGTTGCATAACCGAAAGTGGCTTTCATGCTAACAACATAATGTTATGATGTATAAATGGATTGGGGATCCTTGGGACTTTAGATTGCACAAATCCAAGTAATTTTAACTTCATGCCCCACAGCTTGAACTAAGCACTTGAAGTCTGTCCGCATAATAATGCTTACAATTCCTTATTTTCTTTTATGAAATTAATTTTATGTACTTTATTTATTTAATGTCTCACTTGATATGATATAGCATAGTTTCTAACAATTCTGGAGCCTTTGTAACTGGGAAAAAAAATAATAATTCTCTTTTGCGCGAAATGGAGGGTAATGTACTCAGTGTAAGACAATGTGGAACATCTACAAAAACTTCGAATTGTGAAACCATAAGCCAGAGAGAATACAAGAGCTCGCAATAAGCCACCATCTTGGAGTTCGAAGTTATAATTAATTTTCAAATATGGGAAATTCATTAATCTCATAACAGCTATCATTCTGTTTAAATAAAAATTTTAAAATAATTATAAGTTTATATATGGTCATTCTTCCTATATTTTGTAGCAAAGAGAGCGTTTCAAAAGCCAGAAGGCTATCCGGATGAGAAAAGAGGCAAGCTTAGTTCTTTTATAATAATAATAATAAAAAAAAAACCGTGTTTCCTGTTCCAGAATACTAACTAGGAAATATGAGGACAGTGGTCATATTTTAAACACAAGGTAACATAAAAAGCTAAACTGGATTAAGAATTTTGGCGACACGAGTGAGCTTACCTCGATCTTCAACTGCATCCGGTGTGCCCTCAAGACCAAGAATACGAGTTTAAGCACTTACAAAATGTCTTGCATAATCATAAGTGTGGAATCTGAGTGTGTAAAATCCAAGCAGTAAATCTTTGTAAGCTCCAGAGATGAGAATATGGAACAAACTTTACTTGTCATTGAAGTTCAATATTATATAATTGATAGGTTTTGGAGGTTTATTGAACTCAAATTTAACACCAGACCCACCCAACAAATCAGCAGAAATAATGGATTTCAGCAGTTCTGATCTTGATGGCAATGTCCTGTGAATTTCTGAGGAAGGGAAAGGAGTGTGAAGAAACCAACCAACTTTCATTCTGTTGTTGTACTCTTTTAGGCATTTCGGATGAAACATCGATGGTAATCATGGCACCAGACAGCATCACCCTCCTTATAATGCTCATTCACAATATCAGCAAACATCTGGTTTGCCTTCTTGTAAGCTGCAAATTGAGACTGGAAGCTACGGGTGGTCGCAAGGCGGTCTTCTTGTGGAAGCCCAAGATAATGGAAAAGGGGCCATAATATGTTGTTACAGTAGCCATTATAGTATTGGTGGACGGTTTCTTCATCAAGAAACACTGGGATGCACCGCTGCAGTCAATGGATCAATTGAATGTTATAATGCTTTGATAGAAGGTAGTAAAAAATTGAAATGCTTATAATTTGTTGGTATTATCGATGACATGAGATGAAAATTATGCTGCAGAAGATACGATTATAACTTCATAATCAAAGAGCCAATAGCAAGGAACCAAATAACACAAACCTTTTCAGCCAGAGCTTTAGTTAGTGATTGTTGTCCAACTTCATCAGGAACATTTATCCATCTGGCTTCGAACTCATTGATACCTTTAAAAGGATAGTATGTTTTAAACTTTCACACTTTATAGAAGTCCTAACTCTTAGGTAATGATAGAAGAGCCCATGAGTCTTCACCCATGACTGCAGATACAGGCAGCCTGTTGGCCACCACCAATAGATGTTGTTTGGGGAGTCGATCATCTGATCTCTCTAAGCCATCATTCAGGGATTTTGATGTACAATCCTTTCAAATAAATTATCTTCTCGAACTCCCATATCACCACCAAATGGGTAATACTCATTTCCATTTCCAAAAGTATCCACCTCTCCGTTGTTGTCTCTTAAATCTTCATTAAAATGAAAAGACCGAGTGGACCTTCTGATAAGTACCTGAACAATCAGCTAATTCAAGACAATAAGGAAAAAGGGAAGCAAATGTTTTTTGATTATCAAACTAGCAAATGAAGTATACTCAGTTCTGTAATTGAAAAGAACAAAATGAAATACAGATATTTGGCATTCGAGAGGCCAATTCTCTCCTACCGTTCCACTAATTTCTGCCTGCCTTTTCTAGTGATTCTTACCCCAATTTATACTTGGTTGCCTAACTAATTCAATTAGTGTGCATGTAACTGTTTTCTCGCCATTTCCTATTTTGCCCTTGCTCCTTTCTTACGCCTTTGGTATGTCATGTGGACTGCGAATCTATCATTACCTTCCCATATGAGATTCACCTTGTCCTCAAGGTGAAAGGACGGAAACTGATATAGAATCATATCATAAGACTCCCAAGTGGCTTCAAGTGGTGACGGCCCTTTCCATTGTATCAAAACATCTAACACTCTGATATTGCTGCCTCATGGTCGTAACCCAAGTAGTGCTTCAGATTCAGCTAGCATCTCTAGCTCATCATTCAATTAGCTAGGTACTTCTTTCACTGCTTGCATTGCTCCCTCTGCTTTGCGTAACTGGGAAACATGGAACACAAGATGAATATTACTCGTCGAAGGAAGAATAAGTTTATATGCAACCTGTCCAATCCTCTGTCCCACCGTAAATGGACCATAAAACCTTTGTGCCAACTTCTCATTAGGCCGCGGTGCTGAGGATCTACGACAATATGGTCGAACCTTCAAATATACCAAGTCACCCACTGCGAAGTTGACATCTCTTTGTTTGGAATCAACTATGCTTTTCATCTTCGCTTGAGCCCTTAGTAACTGAGCTTTCAGTTCCTCTAAGACTTGGTCACTTTCACGGAGTTGATGTTCTATCCCTAAAATAGGGATAGTTCCCTTGTCAAACCTAAGTAAAACAAGTGGTTTGCGCACGTAAACAACCTGGAAGGGAGTCGACATGCTGGCGGTGTGAAATGAAGTGTTATACCATAATTCAGCCCAAGACAACCAATTGTACCATGACTTGGGTCGAGAATAAGGAAAACATTGAAGATATGTCTGTAGTGTATGATTTAGTACCTCTGATTGGCCATCGGATTGTGGCTTGTAAGCCGTACTACAGTTGAGCTTCTACCTTGTAAACGGAATAATTCTTCCCAGAAATGGCTGACGAAGACCTTATCCCTGTCTGACATTATTGAACGAGGTATCCCGTGTAGCCTTACCAACTCTTTCACAAAAATTCCAGCAACACTTGTTGCCGTAAAAGGGTGCTTAAGTGCTATGAAGTGCCCATATTTGCTTAATCGATTTACCACCACCAAGATCGTATCCATGGTTCCTGATTTCGGTAGACCTTCGTTGAAATCCATTACTATGTCTTCCCAAATTTGATTCGGAATAGGTAGTGGCTGTAGTAATCCCCCTGGTGATAAGGTGAGCTATTTGTTTTACTGGCAAATTGCACACTGGCGTACATACCCCTGAATATCTACTTTCATACCTTCCCAATATACGTTGGCTGCAATCCTTCTGTAAGTTTTCAGGAACCCAAAGTGTCCCCCGCTCTTACTATCATGCCCCTCTTGTAACATCAATGGAATCAACGTTGATCCTTTTAACAAAAATAATCGCCCTTTAAATAGTAGCTGACTGTTTACCAAAGAAAAATTTGATATGCTAGATCAGCCTTGCTTGAGCTCCTGAATAATATTCTGAAGTTACGAATCGCTCGGACTTCCTCCTCTAGGATGTCTAATTGTAAGACTACAGGGACCGTTATGGCCATTAATTTAGTAGAAGAACTAATGCGAGAGAGTGCATCAGCAGCCATGTTTTCAATTCTCGGACGGTATTGAACTTAGGACTGATATCCCATTAATTTTAGTAACCACTTCTGATCATCCGAATTCACTTACTTCTGTTCCAACAAGAACTTTAAGTTTTTTTATCCGTTCTCACAAAGAATTTGTGCCCAAGTAGGTAGTGTCTCCATTTCTGTACCGCAAAAACAATTGTTATCAGTTCCTTTCCATATGCTAATTTAACCTTCCCGTTCGGATTGAGTGCACGGCTGAAATATGTAATAAGATTTCTGGTCTTGCATCAATATCGTCCCCAAGCCAAACCCCGAAGCGTCTATCTCTACCATGAATGGCCTATTAAAATTTAGAAGAGACAAGACTGGAGCTGCTGCCATGGCTGTTTTCAGTTTTGTGAATGCCTGTTCTGCTTCCTCATCCCAGGAAAATTATCCTTGAGCATGCGTTCTATTAGTGGCCACGCCAATTTACCATAATCCTTCACAAAACAACAATAGGACACTGTGAGCCCCAAGAACCCCCTCAACTATCGCAAGGAACGAGGACTAGGCTAATCTACCATGGCTTGAATTTTGAACTGGTCAGCTGCCACACCTCGATATGAAATGCAATGCCCCAAGTATTCTACTTCCACTGGCCAAAATACATTTCTTGCGATTGGTATAGAACTGATGGTGTCTTAGTATCTATAAAACTCTCCTCAAATGCCCCCACGTGATCCTCCAAATTTCGACTGAAAACTAAAATATCATCGAAAAATACTAGCACAAACTGCCTCAAGTGCTCTTTGAATACTTTATTCATGAGGGACTGGAATGTGGTTGGGCAGTTGTCAGTCTGTATAGCATTACCAAGAACTCATAATGTCTTTCGTGTGTTCTGAATGCGGTATTTGGAATATCTTCTGGTCTGACTCGGATTTGATGATACCGAGCTTTAAGATCAAGTTTGGAGAAAATGGTAGCCCCATGTATTTCATCCAGTAATTCATCTATCATTGGAATTGGAACTTGTC